AATATGGAATAATATAAAACAAAGAACGGATTGATGCTGGAGATCTGAAAACAACCAAAAACTGAAATTTCTGGAGAAACTCGGTATGTCTGGAGAGGAGGCAGTTGCCATTTTGAGTGCAGTGACCCACCTTCAGAACTGATAGCAGCTGGGAAGAGTTTCAGTGAGAGGGTAGGTGGAGACGGTTTAGAGAGAGGGGTGGAAAATTGTTGATATTGTGCCGGGTAATGGGGACCATGAGCAGATGAAAATGGGTTGGCTGTGCTGAAAGTAACCCACTTCATGACCGGCTGTGAGGGTGGGTCGAGACTTGGAAGGAGATGTTCTTGCTCCAAAATTATTGACCTTGATGTTGAATCACTATCCAAGGCCCTAGACACTCCTAGGTGAAACAGTGATTTACCTGCATTTCACCCAATCTAGTCTATTTGCTGTTTGCAATGTGATCTCCTCTACATTGTGGAGACTGTACAGGCTGGTCACCACTTTGTGGACCATACACGTTCTGTCTGCAGAAATGACCCCAAGCTACCAGTTGCCTGCCACTTCACAACACCGCTGTGTTGTGTCTTGGGCCTGCTTCAGTGCTCCAGTGAGGCCCAGTGCTCTTTCTTCACTCCCATAATAATTCCTCAATGCCCCCCTTAGTAAATACCACCTTTTTCATATCTGTTTCCTATCAGTTCTGAAGATGGGTCACTGGATTCCACATTTAACTCTGCGTTCCCTCTGCTGAGTTTTTCCAGCAATTTATTTTTTTGATAACGTGTATACAAGATGATGAGAGGCATAGATAGAGTGGATAGTCAGAGACTTTTTCCCAGGGCGGAAATGACTTATGAGGGGGCATAATTTTAAGGTGATTGGAGGAAGGTATAGGGGAGATAGGTCCTTTCCACACGCCCACCACTCTGTGTAATGCGCTGCCAGCAATGGTAGTGGCGTCAGATACTTTAGACTTTTAAGTGACTCTTGAATAGGCACATAGAGGATAGTAAAATGTAGGGCATGCAGGGTAGATGATCTTAGGATAATAGATCAGCACAACATCGTGGGCCGAAGAGCCTGTACTGCGCTGTACTGTTCTACGTTCTATGGAATTTGACTATGGTACTTGGTCAATTTGAGCTTTAAAGTCTGAAGAAGATTTTTGGTGGATAGCTTAAAAGGGACATAAGAGCAAAGGCAGAGAGATAGGGCTGTATGGTTTATCGTCTTAATGAAGATCCTATTGGACTGGGGCTGCAGCACTAGCTGCCTCTTGGACGTCTGTCAGGTGGTTGGTATGCAACATTTCTTTCCATCACAAAGTAGAGAAAGCTCGTCTGAGATTGAATGTGACTCAGCTGCCAGTGAACAAAGTAGAGGGAGAACATCACACTGCACCTGTTCTTGGATAGTTGTTGAGTAGATGAATATGGTAAAAGTTGCATTCCCTGATCACTTGGTTTAAGAACATGAATTAAATGTTTCTCTGATTTTGTTGCCTTAGAAAATAGGTTAGGAACACTTGCAATGTCTCCTGATTATGAAGCATTTATATATATACGACCATAAGAAAAGGGAACAGGAGTAGGCCTCTTGAGCCTGCTTTACAGCTGATCTGACATTCCTCACAGCCACTTTTCTGCCCTTCCCCATAATCTTTCAATTCCCCGACTAATCTATCAATCTCAGCCTTAAATATACACCAGGTCCCTGTCCCCACAGCTCTTTATGGCAAGGAGTTCCCAAAGAGACATAATCCTCAGAAATTCTTCCTCCTCTCAGTCTTCAGTTTGTACCCCTTTTATTCCAAAACTATGCCCTCTGATCCTAGACTCTGCTAAGAGGGGAAGCCTCCTCTCAGCATTTACCCTGTCAAGGCTCTTAAGAATCCTGGTTATGCTTCATTGAGATCACCTCTCATCATTCTTCTAAATTCCAGTGAGTAGAGTCCCAACATGTTTAATCTTTACTCATAAGATAATCCCTCCATATTGGCCATCATCCTAGTAAACCTTATCTGAACTGCCTCCAATGAAATAATGTTGTTCCTTTTAAATAAGGGGACCAAAACTGCTCTCAGTACTCCAGATGTGGTCTTACCAGCACCTTTGTGCAGTTGCAAAAAGGCATCCCTACTCTTATACTCCAAACGCCTTGATATAAGGGCCAACTTTCCATTAGTGTTCTTGATTACCTGCTGCATCTGTGTGCTAGCTTTGTTTCATGTACAAGTCCCTTTTTCTATTGCCGCTTTCTGCAGTTTTTCTCCATTTAAATAATACTTCTTATTTTTCCCCCTTCCAAAATGAACAACTTCATGTTTTCTCACATTAGACTGCATCTGGCCACTTTTTGTCCACTTAATTAATTAATGCAACAATATCTCTAAACTGTTTGTATCCCCCTCGCAATCTGCCTTTCTACCTATTTTTTGTCTCTTCTGCAATGCACTGACTTCCTCCTTCCAAGTCATTGTAAATGGTTCTGGTCCTAGCTCTGATCCCTGGTCATGGGTGACGAACCTGAAAAAGAAAATCCCTTTTTCCCCTTTTGCTGTTTCCTCCCCATGAGCCAATTCTCAATCCATGCCAAGTACCTCCAACTCCACAGGCTCATATTTATTACTTAACATTTTTTTGAGTTTTAAACACTTTAACCTTGTCAAACAGTCTGAAAGTCCAAATACAATACATCTACCAGTTTTCCTCTATCCTCTCTGGTTGAGACTTCCTTGGGAAAAACTCTTAAAATTAGTCAGACATGATTTTACTTGTCTTGAAGCCATACTGACTCTGATTATATTATGATTTCACAAATGTTCTGCTAGTAATTCCTTATTTGATTTCAGTACTTGTCCAAATATAGATGTTAGGTTAATTGGCCTGTAGTTATCTGTTTTTGCCTCCCTCCCCTTTTTTTGAGTAGGGGTGATATATTAAGGGTTTCCCATTCTCTGTGGTATTTCTGTAAAATCCAGTGTTTTTTTTTTATTTTGAAAAATTACAGCCAATGTATCCACAATCTGATTATTTCATTGCTGATGATATCTGTGCTACGTAAAGACAGTTGGTGTGTAGCGATGGTTGGTTTTGTGGACAGCATGGTTTTGTGGTGCGAATTGGATCTCCAATTCGGTCACACTGACCTGGGTGAATGTTTGACCAAGCTGAATTGATAGATTCTAAAAAGAGTGAGTGAATCAATGTGCTCTTCACCTGGTCACATTTCACGAGAGGTTCTGAAGTCCATCTCTATTGAAGCCATCTACACTGCATGAGTTTACATTTTGACTTCAATCAGCAAGGATTCTTGTCCCCTTTATTAAAACATATGACTGTTAATTATTTTTAGTTTCTTTGCTGTTATATAATTTGACTTGCTGCTGGAGAGCATTTCTTAAGCATGACGTTTCTTCACTTTTACTAAGTATAAAGGGCACAGACTGAGTCAGTGCTTGAATAGATGAATTAGAGGAATCTTCTTTTAAAAATATCATTTAGGAATTTTCCAATGTAGGACAGCATTGTCACCACTTGAAGGTGTGAATTGACATTGCATGTATGCTGACTTGTAACGAGTAGTTATCCTTTTTAGTTGTGGTAACATTAGGGTTGCTCACTACATGTGAGACAGCTGGTTTTTTTATGATTCTCAATGACCAGTTCCTGACTCTCTATTTAACTATTAGGCGCACTGCAATGCAGTCATTTCCCCACCTGCATATTTCCAACAGGAGCAATTAGCATTCCTGTGCATTTCTCTCTCTCTCTCTCTCTCTCTCTCTCTCTCTCTCTCTCGCCACTGAGGCAGTGGTTTATTCTGACTAGTATTTTTGGGCACACGAACCAATATGCGTCAATTAACCAAGCCTGTAAATTTTTCAGTTATATTTACAACAGCTTTGTTTTCTGGTTGCAGGGCAACAGTTCTAATTTGTCTAAGTGCTCACTGCTCTCATGTCCCCTGATTTTCAACTGGGATGAGATTTTGACAAAGTGTAATTTTGTCTCTGTTCATAAATTCCTTGTTCTGGTGCAGGTGGCTCAGTGGTTAGCACTGCTGCCTCAGGTTTGATTCCACCCTCTGGCGACTGTCTGTGTGGAGTTTGCACATTCTCCCTATGTCTGCGTGGGTTTCCTCTGGGTGCTCCGGTTTCCTCCCACAGTCCATAGATATGCAGGTTAGATGGATTGGCCATAGTGTTCAGGGATGTGTAGATTAGGTGGGTTATAGGGGGATGGGTCTGGGTGGGATGCTCAGGGTTGTTGTGGACTTGTTGGGCCAAAGGGTCTGTTTCCACACTGTAGGGATTCTAGGAGGAGGGAAATTTGCAGGGTAATTCCATACTCTGGTATTATTTAAGTACTTTGAGCTGACTTCCCATTCTTCTGGTGCAAATGCAGGTGGCTTGTGACTGCCTGCTAAATAACTTGGTCTGTTGCTTGTTCTTTCACTGTCCCCACAACAAGAAAAATCTGGCATGTCAGCACCTGTCAACTCCAATCAATGTAAGTGACGTGAGGGATTTCAATTGTTCTGTTTCAGTCTCTGCCTGTTGAAAGAGGACCACAGATCCAGGTAAGGGATGAGATCTCTGTTGGCAAGGACGGTGTCTGTTCCAGTGAGCCAAGTCATGTCAGCTAGTTTTTCTCGGACTCCAAACCAAATTCCAAACTCTGGATTCAGATAAGTAGCTGCAGTATAAACCATCTTCTGATATTGGGAAAAGGAAGGAATTAAATTGTATTTCTGTTGATCTTGGAAGTTGAGAAAGAAACATCACAAGCACTTTACAGCCGATTTATAGTTTTTTCGTTTTGGCCGTGTAATCACTGTTGCAGTATAGAAAATAAGTCACCAATTTAAGCTTAGCAGACTCTAACCAACCAATGTGATAATGACTAGATGATCTCCTTTTGCAGGCTGTTGATTTGAGGGATAAGTATTAACCAGGACAACTTAAGTTCGTGTTCGCTCCTCAAATTTGTAAACGTGTTTTTGTTTTTATTTAGGTTCTGCTATCTGGCAGCTGATTGCTTCATTTTTAAAGCTTCCAATATCAGGCACTCACTGCATAGTTGGAGCTACCATTGGTTTCTCACTAGTTTCATTTGGTGCTCATAGTGTTCGATGGATGCAGCTCATCAAGATAGGTAAGTGACCTTTCCCTGTTATTTTTATATGAATATTATCATGCATGACAGCAATGATTTAACAATTACAGGTCACTCTAGCTTCCTTACTTAAGTGTTTTCTACTCTGATTTGGTTCATTTGTAAATGTGAAATGTAGCCAATGCTCTCACGTTTTTCTGCTCATCAGTATACTCCAAATTTGTAGACTGTAGTATTGGCAAAGCTTGCAAACCTTTTGTACCCATCGTAGAACTTCAGAGCCCCAAAAATGTACTGAAACGTGCCTTTTGACCCAGAAGGTCAATGTGGGTACTAATGCTCTATAAAAGCCTCATCATGACTTACACTATTTTGACCTATCAACATGTTTTTCTATTACTATCTCCTCTTATTTCAAAATATAGCTGGTTGTTTTTCACATGCCTGTGGATGAGTTTATAGGTTGATGTCAAAATTAACAATTGATTTTCAGCAGCTTTAGCTGATGCAGTATGGATGATTGTGATGCCACAAGCCATCTTTTTTTTTTCTGGTTGCCGGGCAATGGTTCTAATTTGTCTAAGTGCTCACTGCTTTCATGTCCCCTGGTTTTCATTCAGAACGTGGGTAATGGTCAGACCTGAATAGCTCAAATGAGCTCCAGCCATTACTTGTGCTCCAAGTGAAATAAAAGTCACATCCATCCCTTGCCTATCCTAGGTGATTGAGTGTTGTCTTGATTTTCTGTAGAAGTTGAAGTCGGAGTCGGAGACTTCATACTCTGGTTAGTTAAAGAATGTGATGTGGTAATGTTTGCAGTTAACCAGGAAGTGTTTCATTGACTGATGGAGCTGTTGCCAGTTCGTAGGGTATGTAGTGTGCTCCAGTAGGGTCCATAGGTATATGGGCTTTTTTTTTTTTAATTTTGAAGTAATGTGTCAACAGGCATTGCCTTTATCAGCTGTCAGCTGATCAGAGTTAGCTCTACAGTCATCAAGAAGTTCATGTGTAGCTGGCACAAAATCACTTGATCTGTGCTGGACTTGGATAAATCCTTTTCAGCTTGCTGGAGGTGGTTATCTACCACAATTGAAGGTTTTTCACTAATATGGTGCTTGAGCTTCTTTTGAAGGCACTTCATAAGCTGGTCAGAAACAGTGGAGAGTATTTATACTTGAGCCGAGAGGTGTGAAAAGTCCCATAGCAGAAACAACCAAAACAGTGGCCCGAAATAAACGCTAATGCCATTATTTCACAGCTCTCACTCTGATGCATCCATACTCTATCTGAATCACTCCATGTGGCAGAAAGCTCACACTCCTGCGTGAGTTATTAATGGCAACTTGAATTTATGCCCCCTAGCTTTAAGTTCCAAAAGTGGTAACTGTTCATACCACTAAACTCCATTATTATGAAGGGGCCCATTTTGGCCCTTTTGTGCCTGCATCAGCTCTTATCTAGTGTCAATCCTCCGCCTTTTTTTTACCCCATATGTCGGCACACCATTTCTATCCAAATAACCATCCAATGCCCTCTTGGTTTCCTCAGTTGAACCTCCCTGCAAGTTTCCAGGCAGTGTATTCCTTAATTTTTTTTTTTCTATGTTTTACATCTCTGCATTATTAGGGTTAGTAAAAGAACTTTTTTATTTTGTTGTTCCAGTTAACATTTGTCTCCCATTATGCTCCACACACAGATTTTTAGCTTCATTTTGGAGTTTGTTGAACGTTTTGCTTAGTGATGTGTGTTTCCTGGTACTTTGTTTCAGGATTGCCAGTATTCCAGTTTTAAGGAAACCTTCAAGAAAAGCGGAGCAGCAGTGTTTTGGGCAAGAAATGCCAGAGTTTAGTCTTGGATAGCTAAGACATATTTGATTGTGGGTGGGTTGGAGAGAGATATGTATATACATGATGGCCAGCATTGGGGGAATGTGGCTTAGCTGTGGGGTTGGGGGGGTGTGTGGTGATGGTGGTTTTGGGGCTTGCAAGTGTTTTGGGAAATTTATCATAAGGAGTTGGAGGTGGATAGCGAATGGCATTAAGTATCAAGAGATTTAAGGCTTCAGGAGGCAGTAGCTACTGTAGGGTAGTGAGATCTGTAGTCTCAGTTAAGCCAGGTTGGTTTTGGAATAGGATAAGACTGAAGTTTGTCAGAAGAACACTGAAAAATGATGTCTAGTGTAACATGAAGTGCAAGCACATGTTTGTCATTTACTACACTACTGAACACCACCTTGTACCAGATATGGATTTACTTTTGTACTATTCATTTGAGCAAGAATATTGTAAGGTTTATAGGTATAGATGCACTGAAATTCTGAATGTTCTCTAAGCCCAATGAAAGCCATGCCCAAAAGTAGAGGGGCACCCTCTGCCCCAGGCCAAGCTATTCAAATTTGATTCTGATGAACATTTTTCTTTTGGAGACATCCTGTCTACTTGCATCTTTTCAAACCAGTGAGAAATCACCATTGGGACAGCCCATCCTGCTGACGTTTAACCTAGGTTGTGCCCTGACCCATTTCAGCAAAGATCAAGTGTTCACGTGCTTTGTTTCTTTTTTACCTTACCCATTGATAAGCAAACAATTTTTACAAAACTTCTTGCATTGTGATCAGTTTCCAAAAAGCTGCCCTGAATAATCAACTGAAACGGGATGTTTGGCCCAACTAGCTCTTTCTGTTTATTGCTCTGTTCCTATATTCCTTTATTTCTACTGTCTTGTTAACCTGTTAAATGTTGAATTGTTTTTTGAGGTGAATTTGGTAAAATGGCCTTTGATTCCCAATCCAGTGAGGGCCTAGGCCAGTTTCGCAGTCTGTACTTTCAGTTCAAAGTACAAAGAGACTGGATGGGATCTCCCTTTTGGTTTATTTTCTGATTGCTGCAGAGCCTCTTAGCTGAAACTGTCCTGCTAGCTGCAGCTCTGCTAAATTGTGGGATTTCCAATGTGAGATAAATGGCCATATAGTGGCAATTTGTCGTTTATCTTGCCCATAAAATCTGTATTAAATTCAAACTGCAGTCTGTTTTGTTTTCCAGTTATGTTCTTTGGGTGAATTGTGCTGTTTCAAGTGATTTTTGCTTTTCCTTGGTTTGCCATGTGTAATTTGTCTTTGCAGTTGCCTCCTGGTTCATATCCCCGCTTCTTTCTGGGGCCATGTCTGGCCTACTCTTCGTCTTAATTCGATTCTTCATCTTGAAAAAGGTAAGTGTTTTTTTGTTTTAAGATGACATTAATCTTGCAGTTTTACAGCACCATCTTATCTCCTCCTCTGACCCTGATTTTTTTTTTTCTAATTGTGTTGCAATTTCTGTAGGATGATCCAGTGCCGAATGGCCTGCGTGCACTCCCACTGTTTTATGCTGCTACTGTAGGGATCAATACCTTCTCAATTTTATTCACAGGAGCTCCATGTAAGTATCTCTTGGATGGTGGTTTAGGCCTCTTGGGGATGAAATTGGTCTTTTGCAATAGCTATCAGGAAATCCTTTTTACACCTGCCCCATTTTTTTGATCCTAAAAATTCAGCATCATGCATTTTGCACTGAAATCAAAGTTTAATTTCTTCCATCTACATTTTGACAATTGTTGGTTAACTGGTGGAAGCACTAATTAGGAACAAGCAAATCAAAGGTGACCTCACTGGATAAGTCCAACAGATTGTTTTATCCTCCTCAATCCTGTTGTGTTTATAATAACTGGCTATTAAAATAGGAACTAAAGTGAGGTCTCACTACTTTCTAGATGCTGTCTCCATTCTAATTCCAGGATAGCTTTGTAGCTAAGCAACACTTGTCAACAGAGAAACACTGTATAAATTAATGACCTTGGATCTATCAGAAGTAATGAGTTTGATGTTTGGAAGAAACTCTGAAACTCTTTTTAATTATAACTAGGAATTATGTAAATTTAAGTTGATTCAAATAAAAATTGTGCCTTGTTTGACATGCTTAAGCATTTTGGCTTCCTGAGCTCCTGTCCTGTATCTACCAAAATGGGAATGTTAGTTACCAATTTGACACAATTATATTTTGTAATGTGCTGAGTTTTGAAATTATACTCCAGGAAGTTTCCCAGAGCTCTGAGGGGAGAGTTTTTTTTGTTTTTTGACATCAAGTCACCATTTGGTCAAGAACTATAACAGAGCCCCAGCAAAATTGATGTTTAAGGGAATCGAGGAAAACCTTCCATGGTTTAGAGTTGTATCTAACACAAAAGAAGATGGTTGTGGTTGCTAACTAAAGTCATCTAACTTTCAGCATCTGCAGGAGTTCTTCAGAGTAGTATCCTAGACCAAGCCATCTTTAGTGCTTCATCAATTACCTTTGCTCCATAATAAGTCCAGAGGTAGGAATGGTCACTGATGACTAGCGTTTAGTGTGGACTGCAGCTGTTCAAGAAGGTGGCTTATCATCACCTTCTCAACAACCATACTAGATGGCAGTAAATGCTGGCCTTGGCAGCAACATTGACTTCCATGAAACAATATAAAGCAGGAAAAGGTAGTTATGTTTCTTCCTTTTTTTTTTTCCTCCGTTCCCATCTTGGGAATTGGTATAATGTGTTGACAACTATCTGGAAATAAAAACTCTTAGCCTACAAAAAGTTATTGGTTCTGAGGATTCTTTTAAGACCGAGTTTGATTATAGTTTTTTTTTGTAAAGAATGAGTAAGAGCATCAAATCAAAGATAGACAAATAGAGTTGTGATGCAGACTCCCTCATTTTTAATGGAATGGCTGAATAGACATTCTGAGGAATGAACTGCCAAAGGAATTGGTGGAGTCTGGTCCAATTTCTGGACGGGTATATGAATACGAAGAATTTAGAGGGTCATGGATCAAATGCTGGCAAGTGGGGCGAGATTAATTTGGGATATCTAGTCAGCATGGACAAGCTTGACCAAAGGTTCTGTTTCTGTGCTGTACCATCTCTAAGGCTGTGTGAATAGCTACTCTTGTTCCTAATAGATGGATTGCAAACTGTGCTCTGGATTTTCAAATTAAATTACTGAGCCTCAATAAATTATTTAATGGAGTTATATTTTTCCTCTTGCAGTGCTAGGGTTGGACAGTCTCCCATTCTGGGCAATAATAGTGATCACCCTTGGTGGAGCGCTGCTGTGTGCAATCATTGTGTGGTTGTTGGTATGCCCTTGGATGAAGAGGAAAATAGAAAGTAAGTTCCTGCCATCAAAAAAAGTTGAGAACTGTAGCTATTGGGAATTGAACCCTGGTTAAAGTTAGACCTGACCCATCTACCTTTTTCAGGTAAACTAAAACAAAACGTGCTGTCCAGGATATCAGACGAAAGTCTTGATAAAAGCCAAGACGAAGAGACACCAGTATTTAAAGAGCTGCCAGGTGCGAAGGTTGGGGATGAGTCAGTGCTGCCTCTAACAGGTGATATCTGTGAGGATGCTGGAGGAGTCCCAGACAGCCATGTTGTTGCTGGATCAACTGGAGTTTCAAATGGTGAGTCAAATGCCATTCTTTGCCTGCTTGGATGACTTTTTCCCATATAGTTACAGCCACGAGTGTGTCTCAGTCAAGGCATTTTCTACATTTTCATGTACTTTTCCTGACAGTGCAGATTTGAATTATCTATTTGTTTGAATGTGTTGCCTTTGTTCCTCTCACTCTTGCTTGTTTGCTTACTTTGTCCTAAGTGTCATTGGAGACATCTTCCTTGTAATCCAGACTTGATGGGGCATACTACCACATCGACCTAGGGCTAGGATAATGAGCTTTCTTCTCTAAAGGTCATTAGTAACCAGATGGGTTTTTATGAAGTCAGTTGAAGTTTGACCAGCTCTTATTTTCAGATTTTTTTAAAAAAAAATTCAAATTTCACCAACTACCATGTCCCTTCTAGTTTACTAGTCCAGCGAAGTGACTATGTTGCTATCATGTCCCCTGCTCCATTGCACAGCATTGTTAACCAGATCTTTCCGCACACCCGTCCTATTCCCCTCATGCAACAAATAAGAAAAATGCCTTTTCTTTTATAACATTTCATGTACTTTTTGATTACTTTGGAGATCTGAAACTTTCTGTGCAAGTGAAATAATTTGACTTGTCTTAAGCTAATATTAGTACTGATTTGATTTACTTGCATTGATCTCTGGATTGAACTTACACAACGAATTCAGAGTCTTCAACAAAACAGTGTTGGAGAAACCCAGCAGGTCGGGCAGCATCTTTTGACAGGACAGTGGACTTGAAGCATTAGCTCTGTTTTTTCTCAAAGGAGCTACTAGACCTGCTGAACTTCTCCAAAACACTTTTTTTTTTGTTTCAGATTTTCAGCACCTGCCACTCTTTGTTTTATGTTATCAATTTGTTTTGATACCCAAATGACTCCGAAGGAATTCCAGTCCACCTGAGGTGTTATCCTTCCTGGATGTCCTGACTGCTGCACAGGGAGTGCTCAAAGAGATTTACATAATGATTTTAAAATACAAGTACAGCATACTAAGAGTATGGGCCAATGCAACATATGTTTTTGTTGTTCATAAATACTTTCATCAGTCACTGTCCACTGGCCAAAGTAATTGTGGAGGAAACCACTGCGTGGGAAGGTGGAACCAGCCAGACTGGCAGTGACAAATTTTACTTCCTTTTCCTTCTGGCTTGAAAACACTAGTGGTTTCATGAGCTTGTTGGATTGCCCATCAGATTTCAGCCAAAGTGTGTAGCAGCTGCTGCCTTTTGGCTTCTGCAATGTACAACTCACTGCCCTTCATATCTCCTCAGTGACTGTGTAGAAGCTGCCTTATTTTTTTAATCCCTTTCAACTTCGGTACTGATGCTGTGGAATTGATCATAGAATCATAGAGCTATATAGCACGAAAACAGACCCTTCGGTCCAACTTGTCCATGCCGACCAGATATCCTGAATTAATCAAGTCCATTTGGCCCATGTTCCTCTTAAACCCTTCCCATTCATATACCCATCCAGATGTCTTTTTAAATGTTGTAATTATACCAGCCTCTGGCAGCTCATTCCATACACTCATCACCCTCTGCGTGGAAAAAGTTGCCCCTTAGGTCCCCCTCTCACCTCAAATCTATGTCCTCCTATCTTTTGCTCCCCTTCTTTGGGGAAAGAACCTTGACTATTCACCCTATCCATGCCCCTCATGATTTTATAAACCTCTATAAGGTCACCTCTTAGCAGCTGATGCTCCAGGGAAAATGGCCCCAGCCTATTCAGCCTCTCCCTATAACTCAAACCCTCCAGCCCTGGCAACATCCTTGAAAAGGGCTCAGAACAGATTTACAAGTTTAACAACATCTCCTAAAGCAAGGAGACCAGAATTGAATGTAGTATTCCAAAAATGGCCTAACTAGTGTCTTTTACAGCCGCTATGTGACCTCCAACTCCTGTAATCAATACACTGACCAATAAAGGCAAACCCTTCTAAGTAAGTGAAGTACAAAGCTATCTAATTGTTTTGTATGTGGAGCAGTTCTGAATATTCAGTAGACGCTCTAGTCTACCAGTTATTTACTTTTTACGGCACCAGTCTTCTGTTAACTCTTCATATCTGTCTAATCCCAGTCCTGTTTGCTTCCAGTAGCACTTTTTTTAAAACTACTTTTTTTAAAAAAAATACTTTTGTACTGAATGATTTGTGGCAGAAATTATACATTTGAACAGCCCTCTCGACAATTATTTTTTTGAACCCTCTTTCCTTCATGCTTTTCTGTGATGTAACTTAAATATGTGCCCTTTCGTTGCTGTCTTCAATCCTATCTCCTCTCTTGGATTCCTCATGACTTTGAAGGCCTCCGCAGGGTTCATCATCTTTGTTCCAGTTTAGGATTAGAAGCTGTAATTTTTTTTTTTAAACCTGTTGAGTCTGCAAACCATTGTGGGTCAACAGTTTGAACCATGGTGACCCTTCCCTCCCTTGTACTGCACAAATCTTTTGGAGTGAGCTTTAACCCATGACCATCTGTCTCTGGAGGCACAGCTGATCCACAAAATAAATTATTGCTGTTGGCATGGGTGGCTGTTTTTCAAGCACAATGTACCATTCAATGGAAATGATTGAATGACACTTACTTTTGAGTTTGCCTAACATCATTCCTGCCATGTGATGTTGATTCTGATTTTGGCTCAATTGGAATTTGCTAGAGGAGGAGATCAAAATTGGCTACTTCTCTGATTTTTGAGTTTTTTTTTCCCTTCTATACTTGGCATTACGGGTGTCGCTGGCAAGGTTGTTCACTTATTGACCTTTGCTGGTTGTCTGGAGAGGGTGGTCTTGAGCCGTAGAAGTTGATTTTTCTTTTTCTTTAGTGTGGTTTGGATATTTATCACTGGGAAAAGGTGATACCATTTGTGGCATGGCTAACTTTTGTATGGTTGGTTTCTTTGTTTGGATGGATCTAGTTCCAACATTAAAACCTGAATTCTCGTGATTCTTTATTTCTGCAGGTAGAGCGGCATCTCTCACAAATGGCAGCCTGAAATCCCCATTTTCAAACGGTGCATTTAATTTCGAAGGGCACACGAGGAGTGATGGTCACGTGTACCATACCGTGCACAAAGACTCTGGCCTGTACAAAGATCTATTGCACAGAATACACTTGGACAAGGTTACTGATGACCGGCCGCAGCCTGAAAATTCCTACAGGCTTCTCCGTCGCAACAACAGCTACACATGTTACACCGCTGCTATCTGCGGTATGCCTGTCCAGCCGACTTTCAAGTCCTCTGACTTTGTGGGGACAGAAGACAGTGAGAAGCTCGTGGGTGAAATGGCCTCCTACTCTAAGAAGCGGCTACGCTACGACAGCTATTCCAGCTACTGCAATGCAGTGGCTGAAGCAGAGATTGAGGCAGAGGAAGGTGGGGTGGAGTTGAAGCTTGCCAGTGAGCTGAGTGACCCCTTACCACCACCACCACCACCACCAGAAAACGCCATAGATGAAGACAAAGAGGAAGAGGAAAAGCCTCAAGTCCATCTGCTCTTTCACTTCCTGCAGATCCTCACTGCTTGTTTTGGGTCATTTGCACATGGCGGAAATGATGTTAGGTAAGCTCAGATAAAATCATTTATCTTTATCATTTCCACTAAATGCTGTGGTGCTTTATAAAGCAGCCACCCATGCCAAAGACGATACCATCCTGTGAGTTATCTGTGCCTCAGCCAATAGAATTCTCACTCCCTAAGGCAAAAGGTCAAAGTATGCTCCAGAGACTTCAGCACACACAGTGTAAAGGGAGGGAAGAATTTAAAATTTGCCCTGATTACCTGTCTGAAAGTTGTTTTGTTTGAAACTTGCCAAATATGCCTTAATTGGTATCTGATCTTCAATTCTGACATAGAAAACTAAACTACAAAACTCAATGGAAACTTGTCGCATTCAATAATATTATCCATTTCCATGCCTCCCAGAACCCACTGTTTTCAAAAATGTGCCAGGTGCACCTTCAGATGACTAATTCTCAACATGCACCCAGGTGTTGTTCAGAAGTAGTAAAGAGTGTCCTATTAACCTTTTTTTGTTTTACAGTGCTTCCGCTTTTTTGTTTTTGAAGCTCAAGTGGTCAAAGTTCAAGATGCCTCTGGAAAAGTTCCACAAATACTAACCATATATTTGTGCATTCCTCTGAACCCAAACTTTGGCCCATGGACTGACTGTGTAGGTTGAGTTAAATTGAACAGACTTTACAGGACTGCAAACTTAACTTTTTGGCTGCATGTCTGTTTGGATTAATAAATAAGCTTTGCATGAAACCAGTGCCAAGTCATATGAAGTGCTAAAGGTGGATGAGCATCAAGGAAGCAGTAACAGCCATTTGTGAAACCACCTAGCAGTTTATGTAAAATGGTGGCTTGCATTTGTGTTTCTCTTGGCTTGACTTAAAACCTTCAAAAACCAAGACTCACCTTAAATAAAAACCGAAAGGACTGCAGATGCTGTAAATCAGGAACAAAAACAGAAGTTGCTGGAAAAGCTGAGCAGGTCTGGCAGCATCTGTGAAGAAAAAAAAAAAATCATTTAATGTTTCAGGCCTGATGACCCTTCATCAGAACTGATGGTAGCTGGAAACCCATGCAGACACGGGGAGAATGTGTGTAAGCTCCACAGGCAGTCACCCAAGGCTGGAATCGAACCCGGGTCCCAAGCACTGAGGCAGCAGTGTTAATCACTGAGCCTCCATTCTGCCCAATAGGTTCTTGTTAGATTCTCGTCAAACAAGGTTTTGAAAAGTTATCAGAAGTAGGCAGGGATGCAGATTTGAGATTACTATTGGATCAGCCGTGATCTTATTACAGGACAGGCTCAGATGCTTGAATGGCCTCCTGTTCTTTCTTATTAACTCATATGTTCATTATGTAGGAAAATACTGCAGTTTATATACTACAAACTATAATGAGGTAATTGACCAGAATCTGTCCCAGATAAAACAAGTATTGGATTAGGTCATTGGGAGAATCTCCTCCTCCTGTTACTCCTGTCACTCCTACTGCTGTTATTTTGAACAGAACATTGACTCTTTCATGTCCACCCAAGAGGATGAACAGATTTTCACTCTTCGGAGATGCTGTCTTTTGGAGGAGATTTTTGAGAGTGCAGCACTACTTCAGTATCAGGTGCACTGTGCCTTTTGTGGTGCCTGAAATGTCGGAAGCAATTAGTAGTCCCATACTTGTTCAATGTGTTAGTTTTGTAACCAGATTTAAGAAAGGGGGGAAAAGCTGCAGGTTTTAATTGCAACAGATAAATTGTTCTCCTGTTCCCTTTTTTGATCTGTTTGCTCCCATCTATGCTTCCTTCTGAAGAAAATGAAATTGGGCTGGGTTTCAGTCCCCTGAATTAATCTCAGTAGTGCCACACTATTTGGGTTCACATGTGAAATTGTCCATCTGAGCGCTGCATCTTCAGGAGGACAAGATGTGGAGGTGCTGGTGTTTGGACTGGAATGGACAAAGTCCGAAGTCTCTCAACACCAGGTTGTAGTCCAGCAGGTTCATTTGAAATTGCAAGCTTTTGAAGCACTACTCTTTCACCCAATTTCATTCTCTACCCAAGTTTTCTTTTGTAATAGTCCCCCTCCTATCAGAAGAGGGTTCCTGGAATTTTTTTTATATATTGTGGATGCTTGTGTTCAAGACTTATAAATTTTGAGCCAACTGATTATAGACCAGAAGAAATGATCTAGATTGACATTCCAATCTGAAGTTAGAAGATGCTGCATTGTCAGAAATACTCTTCCTGATGAGACGTTAATTCAAGATCTTCTTCTCACTCCTCTTGGGTGAATATGAAAGATCGCATAGAATTTGAGGAACAACAGGATAGTTCTTTCAGGATTCTGTCCAATATCTTTGCAACTAATATTTGTTCCACATCTGAGTTCACTATGACAGATTATCTGCTTGCGTGGGAGCTTGCTGTGTCCAAATTGGCTGTGAAATGTTTTCTGACATCATGAGGTCAGAAGAGATCGATGCAAATTATATTATTTTTGCACGTGTTCTTTCTTAGACACTTCTGAATTTGCTATCGTTCAGCTGGATTGAAGTTTTAATAAATGTCAGACAGGCTGTTTCCTTGATTTTGCACTGTACATGTGGGGGAGTGTCCATAAATATACAGATTCCTATGCCTGTACAGGCTTTGGAACACCAAGACATTCTGCATTAAGAAAGGCCTGATAGTAGGAAATCTATGATCAAGAGCTTGAGGGGAGAAAAATGTAACCAGCATCCGAAGGCAAATTGAAAACTCTGATTATGGTCACTTTCGTTCCTATTCTTTCTTTTTCTTTCTCTTTCTCTCTCTCTCTGTCTCTCTCCCTCTCCCCCAAGGTTATCAATGACCACTGATGATTTTCAAATGGGGGTACTTCGGTCAGTGCCCAATGCTGACTGTCATTGGGCACTTCCTCTGTAAATCCTTTGTCTGAACAGAAGCATGCAATTCTTCTCGGAGAATTTTGGACATGAATTGCAGAAACCTCCAGCCACTTTCTCATTTGTCAGATATTAGTAAATGTCCTTGCATTTTTGCTTTGAATTCAGAGCTCAGTGTGCTTGTGGGCAGTACTATTTTATATATTTTGACATTTTTATATAAAACATACAGCTTTAGTCATAGAATTACATCAAATCTGCACTGAAGCAAGTTATATTGTGCAAATTGTTCAACTTGATATTTATGTCTTGCACACCATCTCCTCCTATTTGTCTTTTCTCACTAGTTACGTGTTTCTGTATTCTCCTTTTCCTCATTTCTTCTTTGAATCTTGTCAACGACAATGTGTGACAAGCTCCATTCTGTGTAACACATTTTCTCCTAAATTCTTCTGTGTTAGTGGCTTCCTTTGTATTAATGTTCTTTTTATTTCTACTGCGAAATCCAGAGGGGGAGAAAATCTCTCCATGTCAACATTGTTAAACCTTTTAAATATTTTGGAGAGCTATCAGATTTTTTTTCCCTGCATAGCAAAGTACTGTAGCGTGCTCTATCTTTGCTTGTTATCAGTTCTGATTAGATCCTTGTAAAACTTACTTTCTGCACTTCCTGAAGTGCTTCAACACCTTTTCTAGAATAGAAGCTAGATATGCACTTCAATCTACGCATGAGATGGACTCTGCCTTTTCTGAATCCTTTATTACTGACTTTCTAAATTGGGAGGCTTGTAACTGTAAAATTACTTATTTACTTAAAACAAAGTTTGTGAAAATAGCAGTCCTGTTTTGACATAGAAACTTGATCAGAGGGTGAAATTGGACCTGCAATAAGTTCAGTAAACGCAGCAAGACGTGATTACCTTTTACATCACTCTAACACTTGCCCAAAGTATGCTGGCTGTAGCTTTTGAGAAATGCACAGCTCGTTGGTCAGCACTGTTAATGGTTGAGGTTATGACCCACCGTTTGAACTCCAAGATTGAGTTAGCAGAAGTCATGTTTCATTGGTCTGAAATCTAATCGTGGAGTACAACCACTTTTAACTCCTAGGTGCTGTATTTTATGCAAGTTGTCTTTGACTGAGTCTGATAACGGAACTAATCCTTACAGTTTAATTCTCTTAGGTGAGGTGAGCTTGGTTGTTGGAGAAATGGAATTGACTTGTTCTGAATTGGTGGCTGCCTGAAATGGGGATTGAAGGGGAAGCTTTCAACAACCATTGTCGATCACCAGTGTGTTAGGTCAGAATGGTCATGACTTGGTTAGTAGAAAATATTAAATAATACAATAGAAATTCCATTTGAACCAATGAAAGTGCCTTTGCTCAGTGGAAGCACTGTTGCCTATGAATCAGCAAGTTGTGGGTTTTTAAGCCTTTAAGCCTCACCGTTCTTGATGATAATACAATTGCTGCACTGTTAGGAGTGGGATGAGGATGGGGCTTGAATCCACAACCACCAATCTCAAGATTTGAAGCTATATTTTTCCAATCACTTGTAAGCTCTGTTAAAACCTGTCCCCTGATAACTGCAGTGACGTTGAACTAGATCTACTGCTGCACTTCCAGGAAAAGCAGGCTGTGATAAGCGCTGTAGTTAAATTTATAAGTGAACGTGGTCTGTTTGGAGGATGTTGTCAACTCAGTTTTTTTTTAAACGGGTGTGATGTAACTGTTATGAAGTGTATGTAATATAAGGGGCCAATTTCTGTCTCTAGTGTTTACACTTGCAATCCTTTTTTTCACTCTCTCGCTGTTTTCATTTTTCCCCATCCAAACCCCAATAATATCTTAACATCTGCTCCCTCTGGTGGGTGCAAAAATAAGTCCTCCAATCACATTCAAAGAAAAGTTCTGCGCAATTTCTTGGGCAACACTGGTCTCTCGATAGCCCCTTAACAGATTAGCTGGTTATTTACTGCTTTGATGTTTGCTATGTGTAAAACTGACTGCTCCATTTCCTTGCACTGTAACAGTGGCTACATATCCAAAAATACTTCACTGGTTGCAGAGAGTTATGGAATGCTGTGAGCTTGTGAAAGCCCCTATTTAAATGCAAGTTCTTTCTTTGGTTATATAGCAAATATAGTTTCCCACTGCACGTGCTAACACCTTTGGCAGCTGCAGAAGATAGCATAGTACTTGGACTTGTAGCTGGACACATGACACCACTTCTGTCACTGTGTCACCCTTATGGAGTGTCACTTGACATTCTGCTCCTTGGCCTGAGCTCCCCCCTCACCCCAGCTGTTTACTATCCAAGTGAAATGAGAGCTGCCATCTGGCTTTCTCTTCCAAATGTAGTCAGCTCTTAGTCCCAAGTTGCTTTATTCCAATGGTCTGGCATATTCTGTTGCGTTGTGATTGTTACTGGAGTGGCAGTCTAGAGAATGAGTGCGAGTTTGAGAACTGGTCTATAGTGTGTGTGTATGTTTTACAGCTGGTATCCATGACAGTATTGTAAAGGGTGAGGAATCATCCCCTATATCCAGCAAGTCCAAGAGTTAGATGTCTTGTTCAAAATGCACGATCTTTTATTCAATACGAGCATGCAAGGAGAAATTCAACTTTCCCGTATGATTACGGGACTTCCACACTATATGCTATTTTGTTTAGTCAATTTATACAATTGTTTAAACCAGATTTGATGAGCTGTTTCTTTAATTACATCATCATCCACCCCATCACCTCCCCAATTTTACTCTTGCTTCCCTGACCTGTTTTATCTTTTTTGATTTAAATTATGTGTTTTTTTTTTTTTTGTAGTTTACACTGAGTATTCCATGATTCTCTTTTGTAAGTCTCCCTTCCAGGAAGAATAGGATCTTGGATTGTCATTTCAAGAAGGGAAAAAAACAAACATCAAGATCCTTTTTTATTAAGAAAGGAAATCTATTTCTCTTTCCTTGCTTGTCTCGTCTCATTTTGTGATTCCAGTCCCATGCCAGTATGATTAATTCTAACTCTAAGCTTCCATCTGAAATAGCTTAGATTAGGAAGTTGGACAATTGTCAGGGCAATTCACGTGGGCAGCCAATAGCTGCATTGCCTGCAGTACCCATAACCTGAAGGGAAATAAATTCATTGAACTTGCATTTACTATTGCTTAATTCAAATTATTGGATTTCCTAATTACTGAGCAATAGATTGATCACTTGTCCATGATTACTGTACTAAATGACAAGGCAGTAGAGAGTTGAATGTTGAGGTTAAATCATTGGTTATTCTCCCTCTGCTGAGACAAACTGGGTTTATTGGAATTTTAACAAATATAAATGATGGTAGAGCTTCCCACTGTATAACTAGAGATGGTAATGCTGTTTGTATTGTCAATTTGGATCACCTTGTCTGTAATTTGCTCCCTGCTGCGTGTTAAATGTCCTTAAGATCATTGATCAAAATGGATATTCATCTCTGTTTTCTGATGTTTAGAATTTCTTCTACCCCTCCTACCTATTGGAACAAATAATGTATTCTAGATATGTTGGGCTCTGTTCTTAATTGCAGAATCTCCCTCCACTTAAATTCACCCACACTGACTTTTGCCCCAACAAGTTTGGGAGTTGTAGCCTCCCCAGTGGCGAATGTCGAATCCCCTCACCCGTTCTGATGTAAGCGTTCCTGTGAAGGAAGCTGGAAGAGCAGCTCTACTGTCTGTTTGTAGCTGTGGAAGCAGCCTGAAAGAATTTAATATCTTGGATTCTTTTAAAATCATCCGCGTTTAAATGTAGAAGAAGGGGATCGTGTTGGCATTTGTGATCAGTGCTGCTGATTCCTTCAAGAGTTCTGAACACATTTGGCAGCCTCAGTAAACATTTTGTTAATGGCCCACACACCCTGAAGCTTGCAAAATGAAATGCTCGTTAACTGTTAAATGTTGTGGAGCCCACTGCTGTCACAGTTCAGTTTAAAAATAGTTTGTACTGCATGAACTGGTTTTGCACGCTGGCTTATTAAATACTGACCACTTCCATCTAGAATGTCTGCTCTGACTGGCTAAGACACTGTGAATGAATTTGAAATCCTAATACTGTCTACACTTGAAAATGTGTTTAACCCTTTAAGAAATCCACATCTAAAGATGCATATTTAATACGTGAGTGGCTCCTAACCTGACCAATTATAAAGCCTGATCAAGCCTGGGCATATTTTAGTTGCCAAGAGGTTTAAGTATCCACCATTGTGGACACTACATAACAGCAACTACTGTGCAGAAATTTATAGACTTAATATGGCATAAAAAATATCTCTAGCTCTTGACTGAATTTCAGGTGAGCAGCACTTACACATTTCAGAATGGGTGCAATGGTGTGGTGATTATGCTGCGGAACTATTAATGCTGGTTATGTTACTGGAGTAATAATCTAAAGAATAAGAGTTCAAATTTTGGAAATTCAAAGTACCAATAAAAGTGAGTGCAGAACTATTCTGTCCTAAAACACCTAGTTTGCTAATATCTTTACGGGAAGAAGTCCTGCAGTCTTTACCTGCTCTGGCCTATATGGGGCTCCAGTCCTATAACAGCACGGCTGAAACTTAACAGTGGCCTATTGAAACACTCTTTAGGGATAGGCAGCAAATGCTGGCCTTGTGAGTAACACCCATATCCTGAAAATGAAACAATAGGTCAGAATTTGACATCACAGTAACAGTGAGATAATTGGTTCTCGGCACTGTAAGCATGTAAATGATGTAGCAACTCCTAGTTAAGGTACGGATGCAATGTTTTACTCTGATCCAATAGTTTGTCTCTTGTGTGCCACTCCACTGTTAACTTCACACAAACAGTTCTTCACCTCCTGCCTTCCTGTTAATGTGCATTCAATAGCCTGAAGTTGCTGGATTTGTACTGTAGATGCAGATTAAAGCTGGAACAGACAATTGGGTTTAGTAAATCATTTTGCAAGTACAATTTTTAAAGGTTTTAAATATTGCCAGTCACCCCCTGAAAATTAATTATTACAAATGAGTTGTTTTTCAGCTTTATGAATTTCTGTGCCTAAGTCTCTGGAGTGGGGCTTGAATTGGGAACCTACTGATGCTCTGCCAGTTTAGGTGAGAGTGATGGTGCACTCCTATCACTGAGCTATTTAGACAAGCTGTGGTGTCTGTCTTCACCCCCATGTTCCCAATCAAAAGTAGGGGATGGAAGAGTGAGGGGAAGCTGGCAGTAGTGCGTAATCTTCACCTGCCCTTTCCAGTGGGGGACTGGGGCAGTATGAGCACACCTTTTACTGGTTGCTCCTGCTGGGAGCATAGGTTGCTGAATTATCTCTGAAAACTTTAATGCTTGAACATGAGTGTAATTTTTATTATCTATTTTAAATTGAAATTTTGGTTCCTTTTTTCTGGCATTGAGCTATTTTTATTCTCTTTTTAAGCAATGCAATTGGTCCCCTTGTTGCTCTTTGGCTGATCTACCAAGAAGGAGCTGTGCTGCAGAATGCCGCTACACCAGTATGGTTGCTGCTATATGGAGGCTTGGGCATCTGTGCTGGCCTCTGGGTCTGGGGGAGGCGAGTCATTCAAACGCTGGGCAAAGATCTCACTCCAATCACCCCATCAAGGTAAGGTCCAGTGGTATCCAGAACATTTTGCATGTTGTGTAATGTTGGCATTTTGGCTGATATTACATTTGTTGTATTCATGGCACGCTCAACATTGAGAAGTGTGCCCTAACCCTTTTCTCTTCTCTTGTACCCAAAACTCCTCCCGTCATGTGGTGGTGATAGTGATGCCAAGTGTGTCTCGGGTTGGCAAATCGAATGCTAGTTGCCACTTAAAGGCATCTCAATTTGAACTGTTTCTGACCTCGTCCATGCAACGGCTTTGTCCACATTTTGGGAATAACAAAAAAGAATCAACTGCCTAGCTAGCAACCAACCTGACAGACCATCCCATTTAAACCCTGCAGCTGCCATGCAAAAGTCAAAATGCTGAAATCTTATTCTTCTAATTATACCCACCACTGTCAGAGATCATCCAGATATGTCTTGTCATGTGCTCCTGGGCATTTGAATGGTGAGGCAATTGCCCAGTTGAACAAACAATCGACATGATTTTATATTTCATGTAATGATGAGTGCATTATATGTGGCCAGTATTGAAATGTAGAATGCTTTACCCTTGGGTCCCTGGATAGTTTGGATGCAGCTCTTGCTGGAGAGTTCTGGACTCATGACCAAGGTCAATGTTGGAATGTGCTGACTGGGTGCAAGATATCCATCTTTACATAGGGGTACCTTCAGTAATATTATATGGCACTACCACTGTGCTGACTGGGATAGATTCAGAACAGTTGTAACAGCTAAAATCTTGCATCCATGAGACCAGGAGAGTTATGTGGCAGTTGAATCCTATTCCACCATAATCTGTAACCTCTTGGTATAGCTTATCCTCCACACCTAACATTCACATGAGCCCAAGAAATCAATTCTGCTTCAATAAAAAGTGCAGGAGCAGCAGGAAGGATACCTAAATTGCGATGCGAAGTTGAAGTTACAAAGGAGAGTGCTATGCAGCAGAAGTAAAAACAGTGGACAAAACTAATTGATCCCATAACAATGCCACACAACTATCCCCATCCTCAATGATGGGGAGCCCAGCACCTCTGCCAAAGACAAAACTGAAATACCATCTGCAGCCATCCTCAACCAGCATTGTCAAGTGGGTTTTGCACCTCGGCTGCCTGCTGAAATTCCCAGATGTTAGCCTTCAGCTGACTCTCAATACACTCTACTTGATATCAAGAATCAGCTGAAGATGTTGAATGCTGCAAAGGCTATGGGCCCTGATCCTTTTCCAGCAACAGTACAAAGGCTTTTGCTTCAGAATTAGCTGTGTGTTTTTTTTTAAAATCCACCTGTACAGAAATGTTATTCCAACACTGTTGGAACAGCTAAGACTTGAACCCTGGCTCAAAGGTGGGGGCATTGCCACTGCAGCACAAGAGCTTCCAAGGCTCCAGAATTATGTGATCCTAGCCAATCTGATAAAACACAGCTGTTATTCTGACAGTTACCTGAAAACATCCTACGTATGTTAATCCACAACAAGCAGCAAAAGTCCAATCTAATCCAGTCAGTTTTCACTCCGTCTTCCTCTCCATGCAACCTGATGACTGCCTATCCAGCAGTACTTGAACATCATAATTATCTGCTGTCAGCTCTGTTTGTGTTCTGTTAAGGCCACTTAGCTACTGACTTTGTTTATTGTCTTGGTCCAAAAATGGACAGAAGAACTAAATTCTAGTATAACAGTATCTTCCCTTTTTTAGTATCAAAGCAGCATGTGACTGAGTGCAACAAGAGCCCTGACAAAATTTTGTAATGGGTGAAAATTGGGCACGGGGTATTTTCATTGTTGGTGCCTGTCCCAGGACGTTGCAAGAGTTTCTCGGGGCAGTCCTTGGCCCAACCACCTTCAGCTGCTTCTTCACTGACTTTCCCATCCATCATAAGATCTGAAATTAACATATTCATTGTGTAGGCAGCAATGTTTAGTACTATTTGCTCCTCTGATACTGAAACAATCCATATGCAGCAAAAACAAGATAGCTTTCAGTTTGGGCTGAAGAGGTGCAAGTAACATGTCACAATGCTTAGACGATGGCCATCTCCAAGAAAGAATTCTCCTCTCCCTTAAAGCCCAATGGCCTTACCATGATTGAATTCCCTACTGTCAACATCCTGGGGGTTTACTCTTGACCAGAAATTGAACTGGATGGTCATATAAATACAGTAACAGTAATGGGTTAGAGGCTGAAAATTCTGTGCATAACTTGTTTCCTGACTCCCCAGACCCTGAGTGCCATCTTCTCGGCCCAAGTCAAGAGTGTGATGGAATATCCTTCCTTGCCCACAAAAGTGTACTCCAAGAGTGCGCACACTCGGCTCAACAGTGTCCAGGACAAAGCAACCCACATGATCGGCACCTCTCCCACCACTGACATACACATGGCAGAAATATGCACCATTTCTAGATTTGCTGTATAGCATCTCACCAAGGCCCATTTGACGGCTCCTGCCAAATCTCTGATCTGTACCATCTAGAAGGACAAAGGCAGCTGATGCATGGGTACACTACCACCTGGAAGCCACTCGCCATTTTGACTTAGATCTATATCAGTGTCGTTGGGTGAAAATCCCAGGATTCGCTCTCTAAGAGCCCAATGGGTGTACACACATCAGAAGGACTGTAGTAGTCTAAGAAGGTTTCTCATCATCACAACCTTTGGGTGTTCCAGGATGGGCAATGTGTTAATTTGCCAGTGATTCCTATATCCATTTAAGAATTTAAAAGTCCCAAACCACCTTGATAGGCTAACCATTTCTTGCTAAGTCTGAATAATAATTTGCTAAGAAACACACATTGGTTTAAATCCCTACATCACTATTCCTCTTTACACCCTTTTTAATGTGGCTTCTTCAGAGAATAAAGGACTTCCTTCCCATCACCACCAAGCACATACTGGGCTCACTTTACCTTTTTTCATACCTATACACCAGTCACTTGAGTCCATGAGGAAGTACAGTATGAACAGTCCTTTCTTTGTTCTCTTGTGGTTCTTTACTGCTTTTTTTTTTTTTTTTGCAAAAAAAAATCATTGAATTCTGATGTGTGTACATTCTGATGTGAAATCCTTTAACTTCCCACATTTTACAGAGCACTTCTGTAAGACAGGATTGAACTTCCTTAACCAGCATAAGGGTTTGATATGAGTGGGGAATGATGGAAGTTACACTGATTTTTTTTTACCACAAGTTAAAATTCTCAACTCCCAATAGTAGCCATTGGTGTGCTTTTGGGTTGCTGCACCATCATGGGTCTCACTTCTTTCTCTAATATGCAATTGCTTCTGGTGGTGTGTTTGGGAGGAGAGTTTGGGGCCCTTCCATATGATGCCACATTTGCATGCATATCATCAGCATGGAGCTGAGTTCATGCATCATCACACTACTAAAGCGGACTATAATCATAGAACCTGTTTCAAACGTGAACTAAACCTCCTGCACACTGAAATTGTTCAATGCCAGCAATAACTTGTATCAGCACAAACATGAATGTATTAATGCCTTCACCTTGATGTTGTAATGACTTGATTTTTGACTTTTCAAAAAAAAATCCACATCTGACCAAAGGATGTATCGAAAAGACTGCACTGGTTTGTCCAGAGCTACGTTAAGTCTTTTGCATGCTGCCTGAAGCTTCGTGGTATTAATCTTGAGACTCGAATGACTGTGAAGTGTTATTTTGTGCTTCCTGCAGTGGATTCACTATTGAGTTGGCTTCGGCGTTCACAGTTGTGGTTGCTTCCAATGTTGGACTTCCAATCAGTACCACACACTGCAAGGTATGCGTATGCCCTGTGACTGCAACATCAGCAGTTCAGTCTGTACTACTGAGGTTTGACTCTCATCAGTACCTGGTGGCACGACTCATCCTGAGGCAGGATAACAGAGGCAATCTGAGGATTATTCCACACCTAATTTGGTGCCAGGCCTGGTTGCAAAGAGCATTTTTGTGGTAGATTGACTTGAACTTAAAAGGAATAGACTGGTACATTACTGCTAACTTTACCCTGACGGAATCACACAAAGTAGACCCTGCTTGATCTTGTCACCACTTTTTTTTTGTGTGAAATAAAGGATGTGAGTTAGATGGGGTATCTGTAATGCATGTTGATTTGCCTACCTTTTGCTACTCTTCCTTGCCTCCCTAGTGCTAATAGTAGAGGGTTTAAAAGCCAGAGGTTAGAAGTATATCTTCTGCTAGACAGGGAAGACAGAGGGCAAAAAGCATTGTTGGAGATTAGGTATCGAGGCAATCTCCCCAGTATTCTAATTCTGGCCTCCTGCCCATCACCAATTCAGTTATCCACTGTTGGCACTGTGCCTTCAGCTATTTAATTCTAAAGTCTTGCTATACCCTCCATAAACCGTTTTTTTTTTTTTTTAAAAAACACCCCTTTAAAATGTACCTCTCTGCTCAAGCTTTTGATCATTTAACCCTAAAACTTGAGCAGCAGGAAATGATAGAGGAATTTCACCAATGGAAAATAATTTGAACTCCAGGCATTGGTGGTGTGTAATTGTAAAAAACATCCCAGTATATTTCTTTGTAACTGGCTGAAGTCCCCCCATTTTCCCCAGACCAGGGGGGATAGTATTAGCCAAGTTTACCTGCTGCTGATTGCAGTATTAGTGGTCTCTGCTGGATAATGTAGATGAGGACCTATTTGCATTTTGCCGTGATGCCCTTCTCGTTACAAAAACATATTTGTCACTACCGGGATGGTATCAGTTGACACTTATTGCCTGTTGAACTACTGCAGCAATAATTGTGACCAAGGTAGAGTTTTTTAAATGTTTAAAATAATTGCAGGAATGTAGCATAAAAATAGGGTAATATGACAAACTATTGCTCTTCAGACAAACTGGAATAGACTTGACAGACAGGATAGCCTACTACTGTGCTGTACATGATTTGTATTAATGTTATGCCTTTCTGGAATCAAAATGCTTTACAACTGTTAAAGTACTTTCAAAGTATAGTCACTGTTGTGATATCGGAAAGGCAAGCAGTCAGTTTAGATTTCACATTCTTCAATGTAATCAAGTCACCTCTTTTAGTTAGTATTATCTCTCCAGCTAGTTTTGAAAACTTTACCTTAACGTAAGCCCCATCCTGACGGAAAGAAAATCACTTATGGTGAACAATCTTCTGTGCTTCCTTTGCACTGTCAAATGGGTCACAGGACAAACTATTGAATGGACAGAAGTTGATTTTAAAGCTGCTGACAGACTGACCAAAAATGCTTTTTATGTCACTTGATGGCCTTGACAAGTTTAGCTGATGGTTATTATACTGTTTTAGCTCAAGGTGAGCTCTTTATGCCACTGTGTCCTGATTTGCAGTACTCTCCTTGGGGCAGAGGTTTGTGTTTGGTGGAACACTCCTTCCTCACTCACTTGGTTCCATATTGCATGTTTGTGATGGGATGTCTTTCACATGCTCTTCCTACTACAAACTTTTATATATTTTCTATTTCTTCACAGTGGATTTTGCATTGAAGTAATGAGTGCGCTAACTGTACTTGTAGCCTCAAATGTGGGCATTCCAATAAGTTCCACTCATTGCAAGGTATTCACGTGTCATGTTAATGCAGTGATCGTTTGCTACCACCTTTAGCAAATCAAACCAATAAACTAAAACTTTGCTGATTGTTGCAGTCTGCCTTCTTTGTGTAGTGTGCAGGAGACTTCCCCTTCAAGCTACTTAATTGGTGAAAGGGATTTAAGTTTTTTTTTGATTTATTTTAAAGGTGCATTTTTATATGGGTTTTGATTTTGATTTTCCAAATGCCATGACAACCAGGTTTCAGTGCAGTTTAAATAGGGAGACTAATTGTGGGCAGGTGACTATTATTTGGACCTAATACTGTCTTTTGTATATGTTCAAATGATGAATTCCCATGTCTACACTTGAAGCTTGTTGCACTATGTCCTCCTGCCAACAGTTGTTCAGTTGCTCCCTTAGTGGCAGGGAAGCGTGTGCTGTGTTTTCCTGGTCAATTGCATTATAAAGGCTAAATTATTGCATTATTATTTATCATAGGACAGTGTTGACTGTGCATGGCTTTTAATATTGCTATGTAAACTGGTCTAGTCAAGAGCCGTATAGCATGAAACAGACTTCAGTCGAACAAGTCCACGCACTATATTAGCCCACTTGCCTGTGTTTGATCCATATCCCTCCAAACTTTTTCTATTCATGCATTTATCCAAATGTCTTTTTTAAATGTTGTATCTACACCTGCATCTACTGTTTCCTCTGGCATTCATTCCACACACGAATTGCTCGGTGTTTCAAAAAAAGAAATTAGCCCTTTTTTTTTTTTTACAAACTGTATGCCCTCCCCTTAAAAATGTGTCCCTAGTTTTGAATTCACCCCCACTGCCACACCCTAGGGAAAAGACCCTTGCTCTGCATCTTGAGTATGCCCCTCATGATTTATAAACTTCTCTAAGGTCACCCCACAACCTCCTATGCTCCAGAACTGTACACAGTATTCCAGAAGAGGTCTCACCAATGTCCTGTACAATCTCAATATGATATTCCAACTCCTATACTCAAAAGGTCTGAGCAATGAAGGCAAGCATGCTAAACACCACCTTCACCACCCTGTCTGCTTGTGATGCAAATTTAAAAGAATTATGTACCTAAACCCCGAGGTCTTTCTGTTCTACAACACCACCCAGGGACCTACCATTAATTGTACAAGTCTTGCCCTTGTTTGTCTTACTAATTCAATCTGCCACTCCTCAGCCTGTTGATCGAATTGATCAAGATCTTTGTAATCTTAGACAGCCTTCACTGTCCACTATACCGCCAATTTTGGTGTCATCTGCAAACTTACTGACCATGTCTCCTAAATCCTCATCCAGATGCTTATGTCAATAACAAACAGAAATGAACCCAGTACCGATCCTTGTGGAACACTGCTGGTCACGGACCTCCAGTCCGAAAAACATCCCTCCACCTCCGCCCTCTATCTCTTACCATCAAGCCAATTTTGTATCCAGTTGGCAAGCTCTCCCCACATCCCATGTGATCTGACTTAACTAATTAGCCTACTGTGTGGAACCTTGACAAAAGCTTTACTAAAGTCCACATAAACAACGTCTACCGCTCTGCCCTCCAATCTTTTTGGTTACTTTAACAATACTCAATCAAGTTTGTGAGACACTATATTTACCTCGCACAAAACCATGCTGACGATCCTTTTTATCAGACCTTGACTGTCCAAATGAATTTAAATCCTATCTTTTAGAATCTACCCACCACCGAAGGCCAACTCTCGGGTCTGTACTTTCTACGCTTCTCCTTGCAGCCTTCCTTAAATAAAGGCACAGCATTAACCACCCTCCAGTTCTCTGTACCTCACCTGTGGTTATAGTCTTCTGACTTTGTCTGCCAGTAAATTTGGAAACTTGTGTGTTTTTCCTGCAGTTTTCCAATATGCCCAGATGTTGACAAGAATGCCTGCGCCCAGTGCTAACAAAAAAAGCTCCCTAATGTTTGTGATCCCATTGAATGGTCAGTGAGCATAGATCATTTAGTTGAGGCCAGAGTTCTGTTGTGTTGTTACAAGTGAAATAAGTAGGGAGTGGGGAATGAGTGATAGAAAAGGACATGGATTAGGCAGTTCATTTCAGTCTCCATTTTAAATTTTTTTTTAAAATGGTGGTCTGATAATTCTCAGTTAGTTGAGAGTAAACAAATTGTGAAATCTGGGGATTTTCGCAAAGACAAAATCATTTTTCTACCTTAAATTATTTTCCCTCGTGGACCAGAATGAATTTCATTTTTTCTGCTTTTCTCTAAATATCTGCAGTTGAAAACAATATGTCTGCACCTGGTCAAGAGTTTGAAATGCTTCTACGCATTCTGAAGGTCGATTTTGAGGCTTGTACTTGGGCTGTATAGAAAAATTCTGTATTCTCTGTCAAGGGTAGAGGAAGGGTCTCTGCAGTGTATAATCATTTGTGCTTTGAAGGCAAACTGCATCTGTAAATGTGTTTTTGCTAGAAGTCTTTAACTTGCTCTGCTGTCCGACCATTATATTAACTACTAGGTGTTTTTACTTAACACGTCACAATAAATCTTAGTTTATTAACTAGCCTATTTTTATTTCTATTTCTAAAGAGTAGACCAATAATGTCTCCAAACGTGTGATACTGCAACAAATTCAAATAGATGACTTCACTGTTCCTGCACTCCTGGAGCTGGGAAGCCTTACCTAAAGGCAATATTGGCACACAGCACAGGCAAGTCGCACTAAGGGTACAAAATCTGAGCATTAAGATTATGGTGTTTCAGACCCATCTCCTGATTTGGCATAATCTACATTTTAAGGAGTGCACAATGGTGCCGTTTGGAAAAATATCTAATTGGTACAATTTTTCAACTTAAATCATTTGATTTTTAAGACTCTGTTTCAGAACTCGCAGTTGGAAGAGAGTCAAGCTGATCTGCTGAGGTGCAGAGTCTCTAATTACAATGCATAATATGCAAGCCATACACTTTGCATGTATTCAACAGAGTACATCTGTGACCTGCATAGTTTAGCTAATTGACTTTTTGACACACTTCTGGTCACATAGTATTGGTCTGCTCTTCAATCATGTTTTCTCTTTTTTGTTTCCTTATGACGAAACTCCCACCACCATCATCAACATTTTGATTTATACTAATGTATATTTGTTATAACTTGCTTCCCCAGGTTGGATCTGTGGTGGCTGTGGGATGGATCCGATCACGCAAAGCCGTGGACTGGCACTTATTTCGTAATATTTTCCTGGCCTGGTTTGTGACTGTCCCAGTTTCTGGTCTCTTTAGTGCAGCTGTTATGGCATTGTTTGTGTATGGAATACTGCCATACATTTAATTTTTATGTTCAAATTTTATTGTGATTTTAAACTATTTCTAACCAGCAGTGTGAGATGTCCTTTTTCTTCCTTTCTACCCACTTCTGCTTTGTGCCCCACCCCTACCCTCTTAAGAGGTGGTTTATTCCTTTTTCCCTTTTTATCCTTTTTGTCAAGAGGAATTAAACAGCTATAAACTAATTTGCATTTCATCACATGCTGTAAGTAACACTACAAGTGCTCACTTGGTAGCATGTAACAGCAAAGACCTGTCACAGTGTATCTTTGTACAAGTGAATGATGCTGCCCAAATTGTGGTGTTTGTAGAATGGATGGTACTGCTTGGACAACTCGCTCCCTTTCATAGACTGATGTGTGTGTGAAGATGCTGTATATATTGTATTATTACACTCTAGAAAGTTTTTTTTGTATGGATCTGGGGGATAAAAAGGAGAATTTAAAAGAAAGAAATATATATATATATATAATGCCATGGTTTACCAAAATCATCCTTCTGATGCAAAACGAGGTATAAAAACCCCTACCCTTGAGTAATTCAAGTTATTTTTTAAATTGAGGCACTGTTACTTGTAACAGGGCCTAGTCCCAATTTGCCCTGCGTGCTACAAACACCATAATGCGAATCGAGAAAGGTTCATTGTATTGGGTTTCATTGAAACTTGATGTTATAATTATAAATTTGACACTTGTATTATATTGTAATTTCTATTGTAAATACTTTCTAAAAAGATCTAGGTTTTGTGTTTCTTTTTAAATGGGGACACATTTCACTCACTCATTTTAGACTTTTAAAAAAAAAAAGTGAATGTACCAAAGATTCAAGAATAAAGATTTGACAGTGTTTCCACTTTTGGTTTTATTGAAATGCCTGTTTTGTAATTCAGGATCCTTTTCCAGCTCTTTGCCATTTATGATGTAGAGGTGCTGGTGTTGGACTGGGGTGGACAAGGTCAAAAACCACATGACACCAGGTTATAGTCCAACAGGTTTATTTGAAATCACAAGCTTTTGGAGCGTAGCCCCAATGTTAGGTGAAGACTTCACCTGATGAGGAGGCTACTCTCTGAAAGCTTGTGTTTTCGAACAAACCTGTTGGATTATAACCTGGTGTCACGTGATTTCTGGTTGACTTTGCTATTTAAGTGACAGTTGGACTGTCCTTGTTAGAAACAGATTTCTTGGATCCATTTCAACCAAAATAAGAAGTATTGTTTTGTCTGGGAGCTGATGGCAAGATGTCATCAAACAAAATATCAAGGTAGCTTTGGCATATCTGACAGTTCCAATGGCCGATGCTGTTTCATAATGTTAAATGTAGTTTGGTATACTGTATTGTTGGGGGTTCTTCCAATCATTGGCATAACCATTTGGAGGATTAGCAAAAACACTAAACAACTGTGCTTCTGCCCAAGTTGCAGAGACCAATTAGAAGTCCCTCCAGAAATCCAATCTCTAAATGGGTTATCAAACTATTGGTTATGGTCAACTGAAATAAAGGTTACCTCAATAATTATCACTTTTAACCTAACTTAATACTGCATGTAGTTAGATTGTAGTCCTTTTTTTGTTTTTCATTTCAAGATTGTATCAATTTGAGAACAGTTTGGGGGAAGATGCGAAGAGTGAAAGAAGGAAATAAATTCAGTGCTATTTGCTATATTGCCCACATGACAAATTAATGAAGGCCAGTAAGATTGTTCATGACCTATACCCTTAAGTCAATTGTTAATCTCATTGCTCATTCAGAGATCAACCCATTCTTAGGATATATATCCCATGCCTCCCCTCCCCCCTCCACTTTTTCCCGGTTTGTTGAGGATTCTATTTGGTTCATCTCTAGCAATTGTAGGATGACAAGAGGAGAGACACTCCTTGACTTTCATTATATTAGTAAGACATTCATTAGAACAGATGATCAAACCGTTTCAAAGTAATGATTGTTTGAAACTTTCCCTTTGGAATTAACCTTGTAAAAGTTCTAATTGGTTAAGTTCATGTATTAGCACTTAACATGCTGCCATAATGCTCCTATGTGGCTTGTTTTGATAGACTGTTAATCCCACATCTTTTTAAATGTCTTTTTAAAATTGAGTACAATGAAACATGTATTGCAAGTGTTAAGTGTTTGTAAGTGAACTTTGCAAATTGCAGTCTCAACCCTGGTGTCTTTCCAGAACTTTTGTGTAAAGATGGATTAGAGAAACTGCAGAACTCCTGCCCATGACTATAAACTAGTGGTGATTTTCCTCTGGTTTCTGAAGATTGTTTATACTGAAACTGCTCTGTCTGTCTTGATAGAAGACCTAACGCTCAAAGTACCCATCTGAACAAAAAAAGAGCGGTTTGCTATCCTTAGTTTTAGCCTTGTCTTAATTCATGGTTCAAGGTGAAAGTTTTACATCTACGTAGATAGGGTGGTTAAGGAGGCATTTAGCACACCTGTCTTCATTGCTCAGACCCTTGAGTATAGGAGTTGGGATGTCATGTTTAGGTTGTGCAGGGGTTTGGTGAGGCCTCTTCTGGAGTGCTGTGTCCAGTTTTGGTTACCCTGTTACAAGAAGAATATTATAAAATTGCAGAGGATTCGGAAAAGGTTTGCCAGGATGTTGCTAGGACTGGAGGGCTTGAGTTATAAAGATAGGCTTGGACTTTTTTCACTGGAACGTAGGAGATTGAGGGGGTGACATTTTTTATAGGAATTTATTAAATCATGAGGGGCAGAGATAAAGTGAAGAGCAAGGGTATTTTCCCTAGGGTAGCGAGTTCAAAAACTAGGAGGCATATTCTTAAGGTGAAGAGAAAGTTTTGGAAAGGACATGAGGGATATTTTTTTTTAAACAAAGTGGTTGGTGTGTGGAATGAACTGCCAGATGAAGTGGTGGATGTATGTACAGTTACAACATTTCAAGACATTTGGACAAGTACGTGAATAGGAAAAGTTTGGAGGGATACGAGCCAAATGCAGGCAGTTGGGACTAGGTTAGTTTGGCAACATGGTCAGCGTGGACTAGTCGGACCATAGGGTCTATTTCCATACTGGGTGACTCTTAAGTGCTAAGGAAGTGTTACATTATTGAAGGTGCAGTACTTAGGAAAGTTGTTAAACTGAGGCTCCATTTCCCTCTTGGTTAGATGTGAAGGTCCTATAGCTGTAATTTGAAGTTGTATGGAGTTCTACAGTGTGTCTTAATCCATATTTATCTTTCCAATCAACATTACTATAACAGATCATCATCTGGTCATCATCCAATTGCTGTTTGTGCAGTCTTACTGTGTGCAAAATAGCTGCTGAATTTCCCTACATTACAACAGTGACTACACTTCAGAGTTGCTTTTAATGTCCTGAGGTAGTGATAGGTGCTATATCAATGCAAGTTAATTCTTTGAACAACAGTTTATAATTACTTCCCAAATGGTTACCCTGACCAGTGTATTTAAAATACCATTTGGGTGTTCAGTTTCCAATGCTGCAGGCTAAAATCCTGTCATTGTGGTGCAACTTGGTGTCTTCCAGGAATCTATCCACGTAAATGTATTATTTTTGATTACATGTATCATTGGCAGTAACTGACTTGTTCCCCTGGTTAAAGGGGAAAAATCATTTGTACTAAAGTGATGGGAAATTTTAAATTTTAACGAACTATATTAAAATAGTAAGACTATATTGTTTGGACTCGTTATTTATTACAAAGCATCAGCATCCTGTACAGCTTAACTGAAGCTGTAAAACGATGCCAGTGAAAATGTTAGCAGAACATTTAGAACTGATTAACCTAATGACAGCTGTGTTCGTGAGTCAGATCAGGGCTGATAATTCACCGGACCAACTACTCATTTAAAAGTGTATGGAAACGGTACAGAACATCCGCCCTGATCTCTCCATTCCAAAGAGTGGTAAATATATTGAAACCAGATCTTCATCGCTCAGGCATGAACTGAACTTTGCAAAGAAGCAGTGAAGAAAATGGATATTGTAGAAAGATGGGATTAATTTCAAATAAAAAATTGCATAAATACAAGAACATTGCATTCAACCCAATCAAACGGTGCTGGCATTCATGCTCCACCTGAGGCTCCACGTATCCTACTCTACCTAACTCTTCAGCAGAGCCCTCTTCTCCCTCATTTGCCACTTTAAATGCATCGATGTTATTTACCTCCACTATTCCTTAACCGAGGGAGTTCCACATTCTTACTATTCACTAGGGAAATAAATTGCTTCTGAATTCTACACTTTCACTTTTTATGATGGCATCTTTTGAATTTCAGTTCAAGTTGTTCCTGAGGTAATCAAAGCAGTTTGTTTCTGGTGCTACTAAAGCCCCAACTGGACAGTGTTTCAAGTGTGATCTAACCAGGACTAATGGAAGTTTAGAATAACATTTTATTTCTCAATCTTTTAAAACTGAAGCCTTTTCTTTTAAACTGTTGAATTAATTCAATATTTTGCAAGTTTGTTCAAATGTCATAATTCATAATAACCCTCCATATTTACAGTTAGTTCTACAGTTAGTGTCACCTGCGCATTTTTTTGAAATGTTATTGTTTGCTTGAATTTATGCTAATGATTCCAGCTTTCATTTTTGTGACCTCATTCTAGCTTCAGTTGCCCTGAATAGTTGCCCAAGACCCTTGCTCTCTGCTTTCTTTCTTGCAGCTCATTATGTATCGGATCCCTGCTCACCAATGTGAGTGCACCTGCCATGCCAAACCCGCACCCAAAAAAATCTTTTTTGTTCTTAAAAGTATTCAGATCAATGTGGTCAGATATGTTGTATTAAACATCCAGGAACACTTGGGACTTGAACCCAAAACTTCTAGCCCGGAAAGTTGTGTTTTTTTTTTTAGGAGCACTACCACTGTGTCTCAGAAACGTGTGCGCACTTGCACTCAATATACATTAGATCCCTGTTACCCTTGTCAATGCCCTTGCCTCTTCAAATAATACAATGAGGCGCATCAAGTTAGATTTTCTTTTTGAAATTCATACTGACTATTGCTATATTTTGGTTTCTAGATGTTCTATATTTCCTCATGTATTTGAGGATTCCATTGTTCTTCCTTCCCACAGTTCTTTCAAAATGGGTGGTTAGCACTCTGTCTGAACTGAAGATTTTGTGCTTTTTAAGTTTGATTAGTTACTTTTAATATTTCTTCACTTTTTAAGGTTACATATATCTTTTTCTAATCTCACCTTCTGATTTACTTGATTAGCCTACCTAATTCTCCTCTTACATACTGTGTGGAACTGGCAGTAACATACACCACTAAATGGAAGCCTGGCTGGCTTTTTGAGTAGCTGGTCATTTTAACTTGCACATCAATGATGCTGCTTCTCAACTCCTTGTTTACATATACAATGCTACTCGAAGATAAAGAACACCTGAATACCTGATTCCCACAGTTGCCGAAAAGAGTCCCTTAGGTTTATACATGCTCATGCTTAGGACAGCAAGTTTGATTTTGTTTCCTTTTAACCCCTAACCCCCAAAACCCATGGCTCTGAAATGAGGAGACCTTGTTTCATGGACTTGGACCACCTGCTTCCATCAATTGTGACCAACTAAACCCTCACATCTATCGTTTTGACATTCCACTGAGAATACTGAAACTAAGTAATTACTACTGCTGCCTTTTTTTTTTAACTTCAATGCCTGTGAAATATTTCACTGTCAATGGAGGAACTTCATAGAGTCTTTGTCTTCCTAACTGACTATATTAATATTTGACCTATTATTCTTAATGTCACTAATTTCTAAATTCTTTAATCTTGCTGGATAGTTGTTTACCTACTATTTCCAAGTGTTTTTTTTTTGCCTTCAACCATGATGCTGTATAAAGTATCATGTTTA